ATTTTAACGCGTTAAATAGGTATAAGCTTATGAAGAGCTGCCAAAAATGCAGGCCTATCCAATTATCATCTTTCACGCAAAGTATGTATTTTTTTTAAGCAATTATACTATCTTCGGATCAAATTCATATCCACATATCATGAGCAAAGCGAACCAAAGCTAGGCTAGTTGGCAAAGATTTACTACTACTTTACTAAGTCTACAGTACTGGGGAGCTATGGAAGGCTAAAACTTTCCTGCTATATACAGTAGGATGAAACAAGTTCCCTTTTCCTGATCAGCTCCATCATTAGCTGTTGTGATCTGGTCATCACCCTCATTAAACCTTGAATACTAATAGAATAACCCAAGGGTCCCAAGTTGTGAAAATCAAATTCCAGGAGAATTTGTCATGCAGGACAGGCAGAGGTACTAGCTAAAACGCAGGTAAAAAAACATGCGTGTACAAATTTATCACCATGTTCAATAAAAAACAAAGACGCTTGGGCAGATATAGGTCACTGTTAATACCTTATTGCTGTCTATAGAATGTTCAATAAATCTTATGTCTGCCATATTTAAAGCACAAGAATTGAAAAATTTAGCTTAGCATAAGCCCTGTGAAAATCTGTTACAATCCTGGAGGAATCCAAGAGAAATTTAAAATGTAGAATTTCCGGGAGAAAATGTGGAATTTCCATGAGAAAATGTGGAATTTCCGGGAGACCGGGAGATGAACCAAATTCCTGGAGACTCCAGGGCAATCCCGGAAACTTGGGAGCTCTGGAATAACCTGTTTAAAAAGCAAAGTCCAACAAGTAGCACTCTGGCCACCGGAAAATTTATCTAGAAAATTCAGTAGGACTCGGCAGCTATGCAGCTAAAGCTTCATCGTAGCACAGAAAGAATAAATAAAATCGAGCTTGACTTAAATATATAATTTCCCATGTTACGGTGACATCAATATATCCATGGTCAAAAGAAAAAAATATTTTGTGTTTAAAAATATCTGATGGTAAACCGAACCGAAAAACCAACACAACCTACAGTACGTTACAGCCCAGATGATGTTTGCAAAACAATTTTTATAAGCAAATTAATGATTATGGCGCATCTAGATGGCCAGAAATGGCACTCTCAGACTTAAATTTTAATATAATATTCTTTTTTTCTCAACTTTTTATAAAATTTTTTAAAAATGTAGGGTGAGCCAGAGCTGGCTGGCCACCGCTTGAATCCGCCACTGATCATTTCAACTTACACATTTCAAATTAAGATTTATTTTGCGTTTATTGTTGGCTTGTATGCTTCTGTTTATTCATGCATGTGTGCTTCATTGCCTTTCATGTTATTTTCTGTATTTCCTTGGGAAGTTGAGCAGACAATTCACACTACTTGGTTCACATTTGTCTGCCCTAGCAAAAATGAAATCACATGTTTTTCTATGCTTTGATAATTGTGTTGTTTTTCTTTTGTATTTATAATGCTTTTGGACAGGCAATTAAATTATATTACATTACATTAACTTTTCTGTTTATTATTTAATATCAATTTCAGAATAAATACACTCAAATAAATATGAAATCAGTAGCATTCTTATCTAGTTATTTTAAAATTTGTTTTTTTCTCTGTATTATGAAAAATATGCTTGTTTTAATATCAATTTGTTTTTAATGACATTTTTAAAATTTGGAAAAAAAAATTATAGCAATTGCAGAATATTATAATAATAATAATAATAGTAATAATAATAATAATAATAATTAAAAATATCCAGCATTTGTAGCACCGGTATCTGTCTGCGGGAACGTACATTGCAACAAAATAAATCAAACAAATATGAACATAGTGGCTTTCTTATCCAGTTATTTTTTGCAATTTTTCACCCACACTTTGAAATTCCAGCCACTTACAAAACCTTACAAAATTCGTCACAAATACATTTTTAAAAAATTGTTTGTCTGTAAAGAAATAATTACTTTGCTTTTTCTCTCCTGTTTTTAATTTGTTTCATTTGTAACTCACACCTCATCAGGGCAACATCCCTGTTGTGTGATTCACATAAAAAATATCACACAAAATACCCTAGAATTGTAGTATGTATCCTTTGATATTGTTTTCTTTTTATAATTGGAAAAATGATTAATCTTAAATTGTCACAACTCTTGTTTCATCAGACTCAATAGGAACACAACAAAAACATGATTATTAAAAAATTAAACATTAAAATACGTGACCTGTGCAAAAACAACTTAAACAAAAGGTATGACTATTAAAACACAAAATGAAAACACGTAGAAACACAATTTTAATAACAATTGAAAAAAATTATTAAAACTACTATGGTTATGTTATTTCCATAATTATTTTTCAGTCAGGTTTTTTTTCTATTGCATACATAAAACTTAATTTGAATACTGCAATGTCTACATACAGTACCCTCAAAGGTAATGCATAGCTGATATATTCCCAGCAAATTGTTTTTTAATTTGAAAAAATGATTAATCTTAAATTGTCACATCACATGTTTCATCTGACAGAACAGAAACAAAACAAAATCATAATAGTAGGGTATGACTATTAAAGAACAAAATGAAAACACCACAAAAACATAAAAAAACAATTTTAATAACAATTGATAAATTATTGTTATTAAAACTACTATGGTTATGCTATTTCCATAATTATTTTTCAGTTAGATATTCTTTTTCTAGTGCACATACGTAAATGTTAATTTTAAATAATGTGATGTCTATCATCCCTTTATACCCTCAAAGGTAATGCATAGCTGATTGTATTCTAAGAAAATTGTTTTTCAATTTGAAAAATGATTAACCTTACATGGTCACAACCAAAAAAATTAAACATAATGAGCTGTACAAATACCACTTAAACAAAAAACAAAGATGAAAATACTGTAAAAAAATTTAATTAATCACAATTATTGTAATATTAAAACTGCTATGGTTTGCTACTTTTTTATGTTTGATATTTTTTTTCTCAAGTGCACGCAGATATTATAGGTATGATAAATATCACAATATTTACAATAGTTATTTTCATAAAAAATTCCATTTTTCTATTGCACACATAATATTACTGTAAATATTGTGATGTCTATTATACCTACAAATATACCTTTAAAGGGTATCATAGCTGATTGTATTCCCAGAAAATTGGTTTTTTTTTTGAAAAAATTACCATAGTTCCCCTGGTATAGGCCCAATTTTGGGGGTGGGATTGGCTCAATCTTAGGGGTTGGGATTATATACCTGGGGATTCTCCTGTGCATAAACTGAAAATGACTAGCATTTTTCGAATTGACAGATGCATTTGAACAAGAATTTCCCTACAATTCCAACAGCCTGTCCAAAACTATATCCTGGTGAAGAAAGCAGACTGTACTCAAGCATCACAGGTGAGGGGTCACCATAACTGTATTTAGTAGACTGAGGCGCCTAGCTAGGCCATATTTTGGTCTTACCTCGCGCTAGGCCAGGGCTTTGGCTAAAGACTGTTATCCAGTAGACAAATTTATTATCGCAAATCAAAAATTTTTGCCTATTATTTTCATCACAACATTCTCAATTGGACATGCAAATCCATAAAACTTTTGATTCGCGCAAATAAATTTGCCTAGTGGAAAATGGACCTAAAGGAGGAAATGGCAAAGTCAGTGACATTGTAAACTACAAACGATGTTTTCATCATTTGCTTTCTTGAAGTTGTAAGTTTTTTTTACCCAGCCGTCCAATCCATCATATGTGAAAGACCGCCAACTTGTAATGCATGATGTAACAAGTTATTTTTCTAGTGCACACACATAATATTATTGTAAATATTGTGATCTATCATACCTGTAAATATATACCCTCAAAGGTAGCATATCTGCTTGTATTCCCAGAAACTTGTTTTTAATGATTAATCTTAATTGTCGCAGCTCACGTTTCATCACTCTCAACAGGAAATATATATTATATACAAAAACATGATTACTAGAAAATTACTTTAAAAAAAAATGATAATCATCGTCACAAAACTGTGAAGAATTTGACTGCGTGACTAATTAAAATGTGTGTGCGTAGACTGTGGCGGGCAGTTACAGTTTAGGGGTTGAAGATTCAGCCAGGAAGAATATAAGAATTTTTTTTTTTATAACAATATGCCGCTAGACCCTCATACAGGGCATCCTGATCTAATTAAGTCATCCATAGTAGATTTTATTAATTTGAAATGGTTTTTAATGAATGTGTGAGAAATTGGATTATGCACAGATGTTTCATGAGTTTTTTGTAGTGTATACACACATATATAGTTATATTTTTTTTTATTCAGCTTTTAGCATATACCCGTCGGATGCGTGGGGAAAAAAATGCATATAGTACCCTCTAAATAAAAATCACAAAATAGAGTGCCCTCTATGTAAATATTCATTTTTTTAGTGGTGGAACTGCTACTGATTACAGTTGTCGGTCGGTATAGCTTCATTAAAAGAAATTTATGGCCTGTGTTCACATTTTAATGACGAATTCACTTCATTTTTATGAATTTCAGGGTATAATCGGCCTATACATTTTTACTTTCTATAAAATTTGTATAATACGTATGATAATGCCAACAGAGAACTAATTTACTCTCCAAAGTGGCAATCCCTTCAAAAGTCTAACATAATAATAATAATAATAATAATAATAATAATAATGATTTTTAAAGGTCAAACATCACCCCCAAAATTGGTGCTCAAGGTGGAGTGTCATACAACAGCAGAGAACAACAGGAATCACGAACATCAAGAAAAAAGAATCAATGTGTAGTTTTTTAATAGCCTAGATACTTATCCGTCTATTATTGTTCGATATAGACTAAGTCCCATTATGAGGGATAGGGAGTGGAGTTGTTTTAGTTGTGAGAATGATGCATGTTACCGTGACAGGAATTGAACCTAGGACCCTGTGACTTGCAGGCATCTTAACCACCAAACCATTTCAACTCCACTCCCAATTAGGATCCTATCCTCCTACCTGTAAAGATTTGTTGTGCTTTATTGCTCTTGATTCTGGTGTCCCATCCTCTGAAAGAAAAAATATAATAATTCTTAAAATATCTTCACAGTAACATTTTACTCAAAATAATTAGTGGAGGAGAAAGAAAAACTACTAGTAATCTTTCCCATAGAGTCTAAAATCTTAAAATCTACTACTCGCAAGTACAGAGTTTTTTTTAATCCACAGTAGCATAAAGTGGAATATCTAAGGTTAGGGCACATGCTCCCTAGAAAAAGTTTGCGTCCACCCACTGAAAATTGATTGTGTATAAAATTGCTACTCTCAAGCCGTGGTGGATTTGTCTATATTTCAATCGGTCTCAGGCCGATGCATCGTTGGGTTATGGTGCCATTTTTAGAAGGCAGAAATGATATTGAAATAATCAACATTGAATGGTAAATAATACCAAACTGCATTAATATAAATATGTATCTGAAGTACTAAGATTTTTTAATAGTCTCTAATACTACATATAGCAGTGTCAAATGTGAGTTCTATCTCCCAACTCCCTTTGCTTAGTTTCTGTGCAGATAATATAACTACAGTCCACTCCTGCACTCAAGTAGATAAAATGACGCCCACTTAATCATTGTACCCTCATCATCCACCCAACCCCACAATATTACTGGTCTAAGATATGCTACTGATCGTGTCAATAGGCATGCAGAGGAAGGTAAGAATAGGTACTATCTTTGCACATTCCTTAATTTAATTCTTGATCAATTTAATATAACAAAATTCCAGTAAAGGAATCCAAAAAGAGTTGTTTCAAACTGTCTAATAACTACAAATTCAAATGTCTTAGTTGAACATTTAATGTTTTGTCCAAATTTTAACCAATATAAGATATTCCTAGTTTCAATTCTTGCAATTTTCCGATAATCACATATGATCAAATTTTGAAAGATTAGAATCAAAACTGCGCAACTATAATGCATTTCCTTTACACTGATGAGTAAATTGCCCATAATAATTCCAATATAGTACCCTAATAAATGTATATAGGTTAACATATAGTACTCATTTTTTTGTCATTCCATACATTGTGACATTTGATATCCATGTTCTATTTACCGTATTGTTCCGTCCATTGAACATGAGTATAAGACGTTTGGATTGCGTGGGCTGAAACGAACGCCGGTGATGGATCTCTCATGCCCTAGCAAAAAAACAATGAAGTACAGCGAAATTAGAAATATCAACAGTTTCATATTGCAATGAATAATGAAGAATGCCAGTCTACTTCCTATTATCTTTCATAGTTAATCATCATTAAATTGTATTTAAATATTATTTACCAGTCTGTTTACTACTAAAATATATAGAATAGTAAATATAGCCTTACCAAAAAGTATTTCAAATTCTACACATGAAACTAACAATTAATTTTATTTGGCCTAAAGCAGTGGTACATGTGAAAATATATCAATGCTGTGGGTTTTTTTTTACTCTTCAACTTCTAAAATGTGGACGACAATGAAAATGACGATGATATGTCATAGATATCAACGAAATTGATAAATATGTTGGTATAACATTGGTATAAAATTGGTGTACTGGTATGATGATGATGGATGATTAAGATGATGATGATGATGATGAAAAAGAGTAATAGCAACAAAATTGATATCAATGATATTTAGGAACATACAAATAATGTGGGGTTCTTTACTTACAGTTCTTATTGCATAATGGACATGAAAACAATAAGAACTGTAACTAAGTAAAAGAACCCCACATTATTTGTATGTTCCTAAATATCATTGATATCAAATTTTTTGCTATTACTCCTTATCATCATCATCATCTTAATCTTCCATCATCATCATACCAGTACACCAATGTTATACCAACATATTTATCAATGTCATTGATATCTATTATATATCATCATAATCTTCATTGTCGTCCACATTTGAGAAGTTAAGGAGTAAAGAACCCCACAGCATTGATATACTGTTACATGTACCACTGCTTTAGGCCAAATAAAATTAATTGTTAGTTTCAAATCCAGAATTTGGAATATTTTTTGGTAATGCTATATTTACTATTTGATATTTAGTATTCTATATATTTTAGTGGTAAACAGGCTGCTAAATAATAAAAATATTTTTTTTTCTTGTTTGTTTTTTTTAATAAAAGAAATGAAGTCAATCTTTGTTACATATTCTGCCATCATTTATGTTCCATCTCTTCTTAGGCTTTGACAACAATCTTTCACATCATGATTTTTATTTTTCATGGACTGATTTTTCGCAAAAATAGCAAATATTAAATTTGTTCATTAGGCTCCAAAATTTGATGAAAGCTGAGACTTGAAAATAGCAATTAATTTTATTTGGCTTCTTTATATTAATGTTGTTAAACTTCTTCCTTTCTTGTAGTGTACATTGATCCACTACGGATTTCAAAGGCAAATGTTCCTTAACTTCTAAAATGTGGACAACAATGTTAATGATGATGATATCAATGACATGATAAATATGTTGGTAATAAATGACGACATTGGTGTACTGGTATGATGATGATGTGATGATGTTTAAGATGATAATGATGAAGACAATGATGATGATGATGATGATGATGATGATGATGATGATGAATAGTATTGGCAACAAAATTTATATCAATGATATTTAGGGACATATAAGTAATTTACATGTTTGGTATTTGCGTGAGCAGAATATGAAAGAAAGGCAAATGGTATTATTATGCTAAATAACACTCTGCCTTTTTATATAAATTGTGCTCTGGAAAGACTGGTACCATAAATGTAGAGCAAAACCAAATTCCTATGTATTTTTAAATACGGAAACTACATGGTACTTTGAGAAGAGTATCGTAACGGTAATTGGAACATCTTGGGTTTGGGAAATATGTTTTTCTCAAAAATTCATTATTATGCAATACATGGTAACATACTTTTCATTTGAATTTTTTTACTGCTAAAATATTTTCTTGATCCATATATTTATGTATAGCATACTTTGAATATTTTAACTTTCATATTTTAACATACATGGTAACATACTTTTCCTTTTATTTTTTTAATGTTGAAATATTTTCTTGATCCATACTTTTATGTAGAGCATGCATTGAATATTTTAACTTTCATTTCATCATTTCTTCAAACGAACTCCTTAGAATTTCTTTTAAGAACAATAAAGAAATGTTGAATCTCAAAACTTGAAATTTGAAGTTATATTTATGTATTCAGAATTAAAAAAATAAAATATACATTCATGATGATAATGATGATAACAGGAGGAAGATGGTAATGGTAACAATGATGAAGATGAGGATGCAGATGATGTGGAGGATGAGTATGATGATGATGATGATGGAAACCTTTATGCCACTTTTGTGTAATCTTGTTGGGTGTTGGCTAATTTAGATTTTAAGTATTTGTATTGTTCTGTTGATGTATTTTGTTATGTTGTTGTGTTTCTAAAGTCTTAAGAAGAATATCATTGCTACATTTCCTCAGGAAATGTCCGTGTATGTAACCAGCTTTGACTGTATTATACATCATGTAATTATCATTTATCACACAAAGGAATACTGTATAGAATATTGAGGGCAAGTTCAGCCATTTAATGATCTTGCCCTGCAGTCTACAAAGACAACAGGAGCCAGCCAAGCTCTCTCATCACATGAGATGGTATGAGCAATCACACATTTAAATATGTATTCTCAAATTGGATATACAACAGTATGAGTAATCACACATTAAATATGTATTCTCACATGAGATGGTATGAGCAATCACACATTTAAATATGTATTCTCACATGGGATATACAGTATGAGCAATCACACATTTAATTATGTATTCTCACATGGGATATACAGTATGAGCAATCACATATTTAAATATGTATTCTCACATGGGATATACAGTATGAGCAATCACATATTTAAATATGTATTCTCACATGGGATATACAGTATGAGCAATCACACATTTAAATATGTATTCTCACATGGGATATACAGTATGAGCAATCACACATTTAAATATGTATTCTCACATGGGATATACAGTATGAGCAATCACATATTTAAATATGTATTCTCACATGGGATATACAGTATGAGCAATCACACATTTAAATATGTATTCTCACATACATGGGATATACAACAGTATGAGTAATCACACATTAAATATGTATTCTCACATGAGATGGTATGAGCAATCACACATTTAAATATGTATTCTCACATGGGTATCAATGGTATAAGCAATCACACATTTTTCACATAAAACTTAATATGAAGAGAACAACACCAAATGAAAATCTGGCCACTACTCCCTTTGTCTTTGTTTTATTACTGAAACACCCAGAAATCACGTAAAAATTTCTAGTAGCCAATCGCAATCCATGTGCACTACATTATGCCAGGCCAAGGCTTTCTGGTGGATCTTTCTAAAGAAAGAAAACTAGATTTCAAATCAGGCCCCCATATTTTAAAAGCGTCTTTTATTTGGGAAGGTGGAATTAGAAACATGTTTTCTTAATTTGGCCTTATTCCATCAAATATGTAAATACCACAATGTATATTAATACTGAACTTAGTGCACTGCTACCAATGTGTTTCAGGGTATCTTAGAGGACAATAGCCATCTGCTCCATACTGACTTCATTGGCTGCCACATTGCTAGAAGTGGTAAAACAACGACGGTGAAAGCGCATATGATTCGTAGCACATATGAGTCGTTACAAGTGCTCGTTAACTCCCAAGCGGGAATAAGAAATCATGATAGGAGGTACCTAAGATAGAATTTCTAATTTATTAATTTACTTATTGTAATTTCCATTATTGGATAATTGAAGTAATCTGTATCTGTATTATATTAATAACTAAATGCAAGAGCCTCAAGTTCAAAGCCACTTTAGGGAGGTCTGAATTAATGAGCTTTCGTAACACGTCTTCTGTATTTTGTCACACAGCTCATTCAGAGAGACAATTATTTATACAATATTTTAAAGCATGTGCAAGATTCTGAATTTGTGGGAGGCTTTTGTCTCCCTCTCTGAAACTTAAGAGCCTAAACAACACAACTTCAGAGCCAACCAATTGACCGATTTGGTGATGTTTGTTTACAGCCGGTCATAAGACATACAGTGGGAATAACCCAGGAAAACATTACAGTGCAACAGTATGAAAGTATAGGAAAAGGTAATGTTATGGTGGCGAAAACAACTACCAACTGTTAACGTAAGAAATAGATGACAAGGAAAGGCAATACGATTGCTCAAAATAGTGTTTATTTACTTATTCTAGCGTTCTCCTTGCATTGTGTGCATTGAAATTCATGTGATCCTTCGTAAACCTTAGGTAGCCTAGAAATCGTAGAGTAGTTTGTGGGTTGAAGACTCTCATGCATACCTAAACAGGCCGTAGATATGCAGGGGCCTAGGCCTAACATTTGTCGAAAAATCTCAAATTCTCTTGGACGACCGGTCACACAAAGTTTGTGTAGTGAACTTCGGGACATCAACAATCAACTTAGAGTAATTTAAATCACGTTCAATCATGATGATTTTTACAGCAATAACAAGGGACAGCCAGGATTGCAATCTCCATGTAGAACACCACTGTGCAGTCCATTGTTTATATCCAAGACCCAAGTTAGATTACGTGACGCCTGTCACCAAATCAGTCTATTTCAGGTTCTAAGAACGCACAAAAATAATTATCCTCAAAATCGATCCACAAACATAAGATAGGAGGCCCAAAGGCATAATGCATCACATGCTTCCTATAAAATATCATTATTTTGATTGATTTTATTCTAGTTAGTATACATAGAAACCAGCAGGCAATGTCTGAAATAGATTGCATTGCAGCAATAAAAGTACATAATTGTAATCCAATAGTCATTTTAAAAAGTACAATTCAACTTCGAAATAAATATAGATTATACATTAACAAAACTTATATCTGTTCAAATAAAAATTTAAAAAAAAAATTCTAAAGCATATACTTACAATACGTAAAATGTTAGTGTTTTTTTTTTTTCAGAAAAATTATATCATTATTTTGTTTATATTTTACATTATGTCTTGACATGAATATTTTCTATTTTGCATATATTCTCTGGAAGAATATATAAAGTTCTTCCACCATTTGCTTGCTATCTGATTGAGTAAT